CCATGCGGGCGGCCATCGGTGGATTGTCGTTTGAGTTCATGCACAACACAGGAACTTGCGTTTGTGGAGGAGCCCGCCGCTTCGGTGGTGCAACTGCTGCTTTCGCCATCAAATTTGGGACAAGCCATGTCGTTGAGGGCGAGGTCATCGGGTTTGGCCTGCGCAGTAGCCATAGTGATTGCCTGCAGCTGCTGTTGCTGCCCGTCGTCGTAAGCACTTGGGCGGAAATCGAGCTGGTCGGACACCCGCTCCTGATGTTCCTGAAACGATCTAGGAGCGAGAGAATCATGGGCGCTGGCAAACTTAATGCGCATTCTTGGCAGTTGACTTCCAATATATCGCTCGTTATGCTGAGATAAGCCTCTGGCAGACAGGAGACATAGCCTCCTTTGCCTCTGCAAACCGCCGTCCATCCTGTCACGTTGTAAGAGGTGTATGGGAGTATTGAAACCACTTTTGCAACAAACTCGGGTACACCCGATAGATCTCTTTCAAAGCTAAAGAAAACTATCAGACTTCGATTTATAGCACGCTATGTATTAATAACTCGTGTAGGTGTTCATGTCGAATGTTTGAAAAGCTCCTTTCGGCTTGCTGGGTTGTTGCCCATAAACTTCCCGTATCAACAAGCGCATATGCAATCAAGTCTTTGGGACTAAATCATGCGACCAGTCTTGCCTACGGCCATTCCAAATTCCTTAAAAACTTTTATATGCATGCGCTAAGCATCGATCTATCAAAACTCAGCACACATGGCTGAAAGACATCATGACAGAACATGTCCGTCTATCTCGGAGGTTCGCTGGGTCCGGCATCTGCTCCCCAGGCCCATACCGCGATGCCTGATTCCGTCCTGATATTAAAACTCCAAATGACACGACCGTGGATCCACGCACAATTGTCGTGGCTCCTGTTCGATATCAGTGGCACCCGACCCCGTGAGAGCTTGCATCTTCCCCTGACCCTGAACAGACTTCAAGACTGGATGTCCTCCTAGCCCCGTCCCGGACCGGCCGGAACGGTTCACCGCGGAAATCCTGGTAGTAGTCATCAGAACCCGTGGAAAGGGCGGAGACCAGACACGGCCTTGTGCTGCAGTGAAAAGCATATACCACGCGGGGCCCGGCGTGTCGTCACCGAAGGTGTGCAAACTTTCGAAATGTGCTTTTCATTTTTAATGCGTGGTAAAAATGGTTGTCGTGCATTTAGAAGTATACATGCTGACGTCGTAAAAAAGAATCTTGACATAAGAACGCTTCGACAAGAAAAGGCGATTTTTTATTTCCTTCTTTCATACAGCATTGTTACATTCCCTTACAACTCGACATTCTGAGCAATCTCTCGAATACGGGAATAGAATATGTCATCACCAAACACTTCCTCCTGGTCCTGACCGCTGACGACTTTCAGCAGGTCCGCTGCCATTTTCGTATTTCCCATGACATCCACATGGTCGGCGCTCCCTCCGTCCCCGCGCATAGATAGAAGACCTCCCGTCGTGTGCCAAAGCTCTCTGGTCGTGACCCCAATCTTGGAGGGGTTGTGTGTTTTTCCCCTCCAAAGCCGTGCGCAATGGAAGCCTAAGGACATGAGAGTCACAGTCCCGTCCCCCTCAGCCATGACCACCCCTCCCGAAATGTTGCGCCGCGCGTCGTTCACACTGATATCCATCACATCCGGCTTACCATTGTCGTCAGCACGGTAAATGTACGCGCGCTCCGTTGCCTTCCCAACACCATAAAAGCAGAGAACCCGCATGGACGGAGCTTGAGGGAGTTGAACTGCCAAGGGGTTCGTCCAGTACTTCGGGTCATCTTTCACGTGCTTTTGTTTCTTGAAATCCTTCACAGGTGGACCGAAGTCGTAGTCCTCCGCCATGCGTCGGCGCAAGTGCGCGTCCTCAGGGTCAGTCTGCAGGTAGCGGATCACCTCATCCATGGTCCAATTTTGGAGAGGCGGTGGAGGATGCCGCGTCCTATCTGCCCCACTTGCCGGCGTCGAAGACGAGTTTGCGAAGGCCGTCTCCTGGAGACTTCCGCCTTCAGGCTTGCGAGCGCTAGTACCATCCCTCGACGAATTAGCTTCTGCCGTGCGTCTCACGTGGTCCTCCACCGCCTCTTCGCCTTCGCACGCCAAGGACGCAGAAGGGGGGGCGGAGGCTGCCGCGACAGCCATGGCCGATGCGCTGATCGAGCCCGCACTGAGAGGAACAGGGGGAGTAAAGCCGAATATGTGCCCGTGCCGGACCGGCTGTCGGCGTTTCTCGTCGGCGGTCACGCAGGTCTCTCCTCCTTTCGCTCCCGCCGCCCTCGGAGCTTCCTCGTGGTCTCTGTGCGCGGGCATGCCTCCGCTTTCTTCCTTTGCCCGGTGTAGGCTCGCCTCGTCCTTTCTGAAAGTGCCCGTTTCGCTCTCCAGGTGCGGCAGGCACGTCTTCTCCCCTTCTCCCTCCTTCCCTCCCTCCTCCCATCCCTGTACCACCCCCACCTCCATCTCCCACTCCACGTCTTCGGGGGCGTGGCTTGCGTTGCCCCACAGCACATTCCCACCCTTTGGCAGCATCGCCGTCAAGCTTCCCCAAGTCCTGAACAGGCGCTTCCGGTTCTTGCGGTGGAAAGCGTTCTTGGACTGACCGAAGAGGATGCCTTCCAACGGACCCAACTCCGCCGTGTCGTGCATTTCCCCGCTCACGTAGGCCGAAGCACTCTTCACCACGCCCAGGAGGGGCCCGGCAATGTTAACAAATGTGGCAATGTGCCTCTCAACCCAATTTTTCCCTCCGTTTCCGCCTCGAGAGGACTCGACCCAGGCAAAAAAATATAGGATGACGTTTGAGCCGTAGCTAATGGGAAGAAGGGAGCCCAGCGGGCGGTGGAACAGAGTGAGAGAAAAAAGGTGGCGAAATGTGTAAGAAGGGATACTCTATCCTCTCACAACTTACAGTAGAGCCCAAAGGCGACAAGAGCGCTTTGAGGAAACGCCTTTCATCCCACAGGCATGCAGATCTGTGTACCTCCCAGTCTCTTACCTGTGAGCAATAAGCACCACTTTCTCTTTGTTTATGGCCACAGTCCCCTCTATTTTCCATTTCAAAAGCGTAAAATAATGGTCTCGACGCTCCATGTCGTGCAGAGAGAGGCGCCAGTCGTAGGCCTGGAGCGCCAGATTCGAATGATCGTACCCAATCGCGGCGAAGTCTCGGATCAGGCGCGCCTGTATCAACAGGAAAGAGCTGTGAGAACATTCTGCATTTTCTCGACAAAAAGCACAGGGCGTACGGAATTCCCACATGTTCGTCCCTAACCCCCCCATTGTTCTCTTGTTCCCCTCCCGTCGAGCACGCACCCAAACCCAAAAGCCGGGCATGAAAAAATCGGCCGCCTCCAAGCCTTGCGCCGCCCGGACCCTGATACCGGGCGGGTCCAGACCGCTGGCCATGTCCAGGGCCATGTGTTTCGTCCAGCAGTCCGGCTTCATCAGCATGGTTTGCAGCATGGTCAAGGCACCCCACAGGCGGGAGCGAAAGAGCGAGGAGGCGCAGTCTTCGCCCTGCCAGACCTCCAGCCCCGAGGTCACAAAGCCGGGAATCAGGACGATCGGGTACTTGGCCGTGTAGTTCTTGGCGGCGGCTTCCAGGCCGGGGTAGGTCTCGGGGGTGGAGGCCCCGGAGAGCACGCCGTACATGTCGGAGAGGATGGTGCTGTTCACGTCCCCCCCAATACTCAGCCCCGCGGGCAGGACAGAGGAGATGTTCAGGGAGGGAGGGAGGTTGAAGTATTGGGGGTAGATATGTTGGTAACGCCATAAAGCCCAGGCGCCGGAAACCACGCCCAGCACAAACATGAAAAATAGGCGTCGTTTCTTCATGCTGGTCGCAGTCCTGGCGCCCGAGTCAGAAAAGTCCCGGCCGGCCGAGCCGTCAGAGGCAGCGGAGGAAATCGAAGCGTGCTGAGGCGGACGAGCCGGAGAAAGTGGAAATGTTTGTGATCTATTCCGCTGCGATGAAGAAAAAGTGGCGTCTGTAGGGGACGAGTCCGAGAGAGAGTCCACTTCCCCGCCGTCCTCAACTTCCTCGTCGGCATGCGTATGCTGCTTTTCGGTGCACCACTTTATTTCCCTCTTGTCAGTGCGAGGAGTGCTCGGACAGGACGAACCACCCTCGGCGGCATCTGAGCGGGGTGTCGGGGGTGTCGATGCAGAAGGGGCGCTTGCACCGTCTTGTTCGCCATGCTCGTTATAGCTGTCTACATTGTCTCCCGGTGGTCTTTCTGCCATGGTAGTGGCAGTGGATTCGTCGGCGCCGTGCGATGGTGAATGCGGCGCGGACGCCACCTCTTTGGCAGCATCAGTATCATGGTCCTCGTTCGATGCCATGTGCATTTGTTCTTTAACCTATTAAGCGACAGCTGCGGTAGAAGGGATACTACCGCACATACACGCACCAGAGGAGGTGCTGCGCGGATCCTTCCTGTGCTGTACAACACAAGCCGCAATGAGGAAGACGTTTTGTCCAACCAAAACCACAATCAAGCACCTCCGTAGCACTTTCGGAGAAATACATGCATGACCCACTAGGAACATAAAAGAAATTCCTACGCTTGAGACGACCAGCCGGCGACGGGCATGGGGCGAGGATCTGAGAGAGCGAGGGCGAGGGTTGAACTATCTCCGTCTTCACAAAGTCCGATAGGGGGGGACGAGCAAACAGCATCTGCTGTGGTTAACTCGGCCTTTGCTGTCATTTCTGCATCTGAATTGCCTCTGGTATTCGCCAGGCAGCTGCAGCGCATTACCTGTAGCGCGCCTCATTGACAAGCTCGTGGATCACTATCGCAAGCAGATCTGGGAGGAGGTAGAAGGAGGAAAGCAGAAAGTACACAACATTTGTAGATCAAGTTCAGCCTCAACTCACTCACAGCACATGAATCTCCACTATGCTTTAGATTCGTTTTCCATCCTACGTTTCAACCGCCCGCGCCCTCCATGAGGACAGCGGGAGCGGCAGGAGATCCTGTGATAGAGCCTTCCTCCCCTTCACACTGCCTCCTGCCAACCCATCGGCACGAGCGCGGGGATACAGCAGCACCATTTGATCCCTCCTTTCGGCTACCCACAGCAGTCATACATTTGGTACTCTCGTTTCTAAACGGAAGAGAGCTGTGCATTTGTGCCCAAGTCTGCTGCGAGCTGTACGAGTGCTGTGACTACCCACCTTTGTGGGAGGGCGCCGGCAGGGCAGCTTATCCACACGCGGAAAAGTTGGGCACGACCAACTTATACAGCGGAGAATGGAAGACACTATTGCGGGACAGGAACCGTCGGGATCGCTCGGTGCTTTTTGAGTGGGAAGTCACGGATTGCCTCCGCAACACCAACCGGCGCTTCTCCCCCACGTTCACGTTGGGAGCCTACTCCTTCCAACTCATCGTCGATCCGAGTGGTAATCCTTACGTGCCGCTCGCAAAACCAGGCGTGTCCGTCTACCTGACCTGTAGCCCCACTCAGTACATGCGTGGACTAGCCCCTTCCGGTCGCATGTGTGTGGACCCGGCGGCCGACGAGATGCCGTATCTGAACCCCGCCGACAGCCGCGCGGAGGACGTGTGGGAATGCGCGGTCGCCTTCACCTTGGCCATTGTCAACCAGACGGGCGCACGTCGTGACCTGCCCTGGTCGTCCAACCTTCTCCACGACCGATTCCGGCCTCATTGCCGGGAGTGGGGGGTCCACAGGCTAGTTTCCTTGCGGCGACTGCAGGACTCTGCCAACGGATATTTGAGCGAGACGGGGAGCATCAAAGTGGAAGCGTGCCTCCGGCTCGCCTGTTTGTCTCTGAAAGTGTTTACCTCGGACGGAATGCGGGAATACGCTGGGTTTGGGCTGGCGAATGTCCACGCCCCGGCCCCCGCCTTCTCGCGCGGAGGGACCCGTTCCTTCTTGCAGCCTCCCCCCCGGCCCAGGCACCTGGCCAGCACGGATGCCTTCCCTCCATCCCCAGACACATACACGACCAGCTTGCTGACAACCACCACGGCCTTAGATCCTGTGTTGGCGGTGCCCCCCCTCCCTTCCTACGCCGTGCTCCTCCCGGAGGCGGACGGTATGGAGGAAGAAATGGGGGAGGAGTTGGGAGAGGAGTCGAAAGAGGAGGCATGGGGGATGGAGACAGGAGAGCCAGTGAACTCCTCTCCTCCCTTTTCCCCCGAATGTACAGCAGACCGGCCCCGCTCCAACCGTCCTTCTCCTTCCTGCCACCCCTTTCCCGCCTCCACGACGCCCTTCTGGGGGTACGAGGTCTTCCAATGCATGACCGTTGCCGCTTTTCGCGCCATTCTTGCCAAAGACCTCAATCTCTCTTCGCCCAACCACCTCCGTCTCTGGATCGTGACCCAGCCCTGGGCGGATTCGCCGGCTGCCCCGCGCGAGTTGATACGGACCGTTCCCCTACCCGATCACCCCGCCTTGCCCGACGACTTCAATTACGAAGAGCTGCCTCTGTCCGTTCTGGAGGAGCACCAGACATTAGCCATGGCCCTCGGTGCCCACATGGACTGCTTGGATGAGGTGCGGGTGTGGGCGGAGGTGGCGGGGGACGGGGGACTAACGGTGGCGGAGGGAGGAAAGGAGGGAGGGAGGGAGAAAGGGAAGGGGCCGAGCGGGAAGGCGTTGAAGACGTTGGTGCCCGTGAGCAGGGAAGCGGAGCTGGACATATCCCCGCAGACGTTGCGGATGCTCCCTGATCCGACGGATCCTGTTCAGTACATGGACGCGGTGGAAGACCGGGGGGACGGAGGGTTCGGCCGTGGAGGGGACGGGGCGGTGGAGGAGCAGGGAATTCCAGAGTCGGAGCCCGATCAGGGTGTCCTCGGTATGAGCTCGGCATCAGCCGCGCAAGCACGCCAGATGCCTACTCGTGGTGGGGCCACGGGGGAGAAAGAGTTCGAAGGAGACGCCCGTGACGACCCAGGAGTCCCGTGCGACACTACGGAATCGGGCCAAGACGTGGCTACGGCCCCTGCCTTGGACTCCTCCAGCCTTTCACCGTTGTCGGAGGGGGACAGCCGGATTGCTGCTGGATCCATGGCTCCGCCAGAATCGCCCACCTTCATCCTCCTCTTCTTTAAACGCCTGGTCCCCGCCTTTCCTGTGGGGCCTGGCAAGCTTGGGAGCTCTGCGATCCCGGCTACAGGCGCCTCTCTTGAATTCTCTTCTCACGCCTTGCTGCCCATCGACACCCCCGTCCACGCCCTTTTCACGTTCATGGCCCGCGAGATGCTTCCGCGGGGAGGAATGGGGAAGTCCGGTCAGACAAATGCGGAAAGGAATATGTTGGCTACTGCCGATCCTGGCATCGCCCCCATGGTGTCGGGGAGTTCAGCTGCGATGCTGCGGTGCTTGGTAGAGACGCCTCCGAACAATTGGCAGCCCGCCTCAGCTGGATCTGAAAGAGCCAAGGGCCGAATTAGCAGTCTATGGAGTGACAGGAAGGAAAACGGTTCCTTTATTTACATGGGCGACAACCGCTACGGGGGAAAAGATAAAGATAGCTTGCATGTCGAGCTGGGCGAGGCAGATTCTCCGCGAGGCGAGCAGCTGGGGCGGGAGGAAGGGGCCCGCTCGGTCCGTTTTCGGTGCCTGAACTACCATCCGACCAAGACCATTAGCGATTTGAGGCTGGAGAACGGGCACATCCTCTCCTTTTTCCAGGCTGGACAGGAGGATTTGATCCAGCACGTGTACTGTTCCATGGCACAAAACCTGCTCCGAACTGCGGCAGCCATTTACGACTGGACCGGTCCCTCTGCCAAAGTAGAAGAGACCCCCTGCCCGATCAACGTTACGCTACATCAGCGGCATGATTACGTCCCAGGAAATTTCCCACGCGTCTCTTCTCTTTCTACGGCCCCGTGGTTGGCACCTTGGCCGTCGGCCATGTGCCTGCGCCCCCGGGGATCGCGACTTAGGCCACGCTTGACCCTCGAGACCGTCGTCGATCTTTTCGAAAAGGTAGGAAACCAACGTTTCCGCGTTCGCAACACATTCTTTGAACAAGAGCACACAGTCGCCCGTCAGACATTGGACTACGGATATGGCCGCCACCTGGGCTTTTGCTGCGACCGATGTGGAGAGTTAGATTTTACTGGCCCTCGTTACAAGTGCTGCGCGTGCCAAGACTTTGACCTTTGCCATGATTGTCATCTGTTGCCTGTGGAAGGGCATCGATACCGCTTCAAGGGTCGGTCTTGGGCGCGGGAGGATTTTTCGGGTCACACTGACGCTCACGCCATGGTATGCCTGCAGCCCATTCCGTCCACATTAGCTATGCTCCGTCGCTTTAGCGTCAAGAAATCTGCCGAGGTGTAATCAATCAATATGGAGCATACGACGCTGCGTTCACCAGAGTGGGAAATTGTAACGTGCTAGAGAACTCACGCTCTCACATCACGAAGATGCACCATATAGCCCGGCGTCATCGAGAGTATGGGATACAAAGAAAAATTGGAGAGCGATACATCTATATCAGCACATAAATGAACATAACGGACATGACAATATAATGTTCAAAAGACTTTGCGGGGGGGCATTTTATTTCCCATGCACCAGAAAATTACGTGTCAAAATTTTCAGCCATGCACGTTTGTGGAGAGGAGGTTATTGCCTGGAACCGCAACCGGTCATTTGCCGTAAAAATGGCCCGTCTAAGTTGTATGAGTAAGCAGGGCAGCGTTGACTCTTGGCTTTCGTCCTCGTTGCTCCTCACAGACGGATCTGGGGCGTACGCCTTTTCCCTCTGCACCCCCCTGCCCCTCGCCCACGCCAGGGGAGACGGCTCGCCAATTTTTTTTTGTTCGCAGACTTGTCTTATCTGTGTCTCATATCATGTTATGTAAGACCGACACCCTCAGCTTTGCCTCATTTGGGGAACGTATTTATCAGTATGCTTCACTGTTCCATTCTCTGGGTTCTTTTTTTCTCCCTCGAAAGTTTTGGTGCCATTTCCCGAGAGGGGCGCAGAGGACATGGCCTTGAATGCTGAACGGTTGCTGCGGCCACTATTTCCGTCCCAAAATCACGATGATCGGATTTTAGACAACGACTATGGCACAAATGAGGGTGTATCCGATGTAAAGGTCGTATTTACGGATTACCAAGGCTGGTGGGCACCTTTGACGCATTTGTTTTATAGCAATGCCTCCCAATGCCTCGTCAGCGCGCACCCTGAAAGCAGTATAGAAGAAGTCGAGTCATTTTACTGCTCACATTGCCTGAACTACTTTGCTGACGCAGAAGCGGCAAGTTCTTACCATCGTTGTCCTCGTTGCTTCGATTGTCCGCAGTGCACAAGTGCGCTTCTCATCATATCAGTCGACGAGGAAAGCAATCACGAAGAGAATGATGCAGGTTACACGTTTCGGTGTGGATACTGTCGTTGGTCCTCCGCTGACTCAATTGGACTGATCGAAAGCACTCCCGAGGCTTTGATAGAACGGTTAAAAAAGACAGAATTGGATGATCCCCAGGCAGTGCGGTATCGCGCCTTGTTGCAGCATCTTCGCCAACGGGCCGTGGCGATAGCGCGGGCACGCCGACACCACGATCGACAGTACTTGCTCTCTGCGCCCTTCGCACTGCCTACAGAAAACGAGCTGGACAGTCTCGGTGTAGGCCCCGTTCGGGCGCGGGCGCGTTGGCATTTGTCGGACTTGGAGGAGAAGGAAGATCGCGGGCAAGCGGCCAGGACCCGCGCTACGGACGGCAAAGAGACTGCCTATCTATATACGTTACTCACAGAGGAAAAGATGGGAACGAAGACTGCAGCCGACGCCTGCTCTTTCTCCGCCGAAGACGTGGACCGTGCCCCAGCATCCTGGGTCACCCTGAGGACACTTTCCCCCCGTGGTCCGTCATCGCAAACGGCCAGTCGCTCTCTATATCCCCCTTTGACAAGCCACTCACGACCTCGGCGACGCCCCCTGTGCACCAAGCGGGTGCGTCGGTGTCGCCAAGACGTGGAAGCGGGGAGACCAGGCATCCTCCTCAAGCCCAAGGTGAACCCATTGGAGGGTGATTCATCCTGGACGGGCACGGCAGGAAAGTGGTGGCAGAAAGACTCGAGCGCCATCCATGTGCTTCCTTCCGTGAGCGTCATCCGCGCCCAAGGACTAGAGAAGGTGTTTGCAGGGAGGGCAAGAGCCACAGGGGTCACAGGAGGCGGTGGACAGGAAAGTGATGCTGACGCAAGACAATGGGCGAAGAGTCATTTTGCTGGCACCGGAGACGATCCTGAGGCCCTCTCTTTTGTCTTGCGCCTGCGCAACCCTCTACGGGGCGCGGTACAGGTCGTTCTCGTCCCACCTCCGGCGACCTCCGAGGGCGCTGGTGCCACTACGGAGCTCTATTACCTGCGGCGCCTGCCAGTGGCGCTTGGAGGCGATGTGAATAGCAGTAGAAATGTGGGCAATGTATTGTATGCCCGTGTATCTTGCGCGGGTGCTGAGCAGGCGGTCGCGGGCGAGGCGGTGGACCTGGAGGCTTTCGAAGACGATCTTCTGGAGGAGGAAGAAGAGGGTGAGGACCAAGAGTCGTTGGACGCCCTCGCCTTGCGTCTACTGGATGGCGACACGAAGATGAAGCGGGAGGAGGGCGCACAGGAGGTCTCAGCCACACGAGTGCTCTTACGACGCAAGTCCCGTGCCTGGCTTCACGTGAAAGTCCCGGTCCCAACGGCTCCCCTTGTCCTGAACAAGGACGCTGCGGTGGGGGTTCTACTATTCTTACGATTCTTAAGTCATCGAAGTGAGTTAAGCAACAATCGTAAAGAGCCCGCATTTATAACTGTGCCCGTGTGCTTGGCGTTTACTCGGGATAGTAAAAGTAGTGATTCTTGCCATGACGTGGACCGGTGTACGAAGCATTGAAGCATAAGATAAATATTGTTCCTCCTCTCATAGCATTGTCTACTTTGCTTCCTGTCTTCAAGTACTTTTTTCTTCCCGTTAAACGTCTCACGGAGTTGTAATGTCTGTTGCGTCACGCAAAAGCCGTCTCGGGAGTGCGCTTTTATGGTGCTGCCCTTTGAGACAGAAGTTTCAAAAGTTAAGGTCACACGACATTATAAGCAATTTAAGCTTGTTTCCTGCCTTCAGGACCGTATACCGCTTAGATAGAGGGTGACTTTTGAAGCGGGTGCTCGTTTCACGAGGCCTTCGAATGATCGCGGACACTGCAGTCCCCTCGGATGTGCATTTTACAACAAGACCCAAAACAACATTATCGATGAGAAGGAGGCTACAAATTGAGCGAGTCAACAAATATGTTGGTGACTCCCTTCAACGACAAATCAGAAAACAATCAAGGGAGTAAATCGACAGGCGACGGGGCAATGGCCAATTGCTTGGCCGTTGCTTCACTTCATTTTCCTGTGCACGTCACATCCTGGTGCTTGATGTCTGCGTCATAGTTCTACCATGACAAAGCCACGCTCGCATGCATTGGCAGGGCACTGTTGTGGTTTGCTTGGGGGGGTGCTATCACGGATGGGCCCGCGCGCTTTTGCGTGTCTTAGAACGTCACGCGCCAAGGCTTTTCGAGATGGTGGCGGTTAATTCCTTCCGAAAGGGTCTTTCGCGAACGCCCCCCCCGCCCTGGTGCCTGTGGAATGCCGGGACGCCAACAAAACGGGATGCACCCACCCCCTGGTGGTGAAGCTGTATCGTACCTCGTTCTTCATTGCGAGGCAGGATGTGTGCAGCTTGCGTGATTGCGTGAGCGTGGCGCGGTGTGGCCGATGACGATGCCACAGCTGCGCGCCATTGATTCGGTGGTTGGACGCGTTGACTGGCAGGATGTCTATGAGAACAAGTCGCACAACGAATGCACGGCCCAGACGCGCCCAATAGTCTTTGGCGACCACATTCTTTGTACATCTGCTGTTCATGGCAGGTGCGCAGCGTGTGATTTGCTGCGGATAGGCATGTTGAGGCTCATGGCTTTCCGAGAACAATAAGGTCGGACTCGAGGATGTTCGATGCTGCCTGAAGCGTTTACTCTTCGGAGTCTGCCACTTTGCAAACCATGGACTCGTGAGCAATGCCATGTTATCGTACATGTTTCTGTCGATGTGCTTAAGTCATGCTTGCATGCTCGTGTCGCGCCGACTTCTCTGCGCTCAATCGTTGGGAGACTGGGGTTGTACATGGAATGCGGCGGCAAGGATGATTTAGAATTTGGGACCGGTGTTTGCTCATCATGAAGGGCGTTCCACTACCCCGATAGGTCTGTTTTCTCTGACGAAGTCACATCATTTACCATGTATTAAACATTATTTTTTTCACGCATCGTGTCATCGAACAGGGGAGACTCCGGGCCAGAAGGAGAGCGTGCAGAGAAACGAGCAGCAAAAGTAAGAATTGCTAACCAATCATGGTCACAACATCGCAAGACTTGTGGCTCTCCATTTTTGTTGTGGCTTTCTCTGTCATCGGCTTGGCGTTTGCGGCAATTCAATTTAAATTGATCGCCGACATCCAAATCATCTCTTCCACGGACGGCGCCAGTAATGGGGAAGCTGGCCGCGCCGGAGGGGATAGTGAGGTAACTAAACGTCTGAAAGACATTTCTGGTGCGATTTCTACGGGTGCCGACGCATTTTTGCACGCTGAGTACCTGATTTGCGTTTGGTTTTCGATCATCTTTGCCTGCATCATCTTCGCCTTTGTGTCGTGGGGCTCCACTCGCGTTCCCGGGAACTCGACGACCGACGGGCTCATCCAAGGGGCTTTGACTACCGTGGCTTTCCTTCTTGGTGCCTTCACCTCCATGCTCTCTGGCTGGATTGGAATGAAAGTCGCCGTCTTCGCCAACGTCCGAACCACCATCGCCGCCCAGAAGCCTGGGTGGACGGAGTGCTTCAACACCGCCTTCCGGGCGGGAGGCGTAATGGGATTTGCCTTGACCTCATTGGCGATTCTCATCCTCTACATTGCCTTGCAACTTTACAAGATCCAGTACCCGAGCTCCAGCGAGTGGTTCATGGTGATGGAGGCTATCTCCGGGTATGGTTTGGGCGGGTCCTCTATCGCCATGTTCGGCCGCGTGGGCGGAGGTATCTATACCAAGGCGGCCGACGTGGGCGCAGATCTGGTAGGGAAAGTGGTGCACGGTATTCCGGAAGACGATCCTCGCAATCCGGCCGTGATAGCCGACAACGTGGGTGACAACGTAGGGGACGTGGCAGGGATGGGGGCGGATCTGTTCGGCTCTTTTGCCGAGTCGACCTGCGCCGCGTTGGTGATTGCCTCCCAGGCCGACGAGGTCGTGGACGGAATCGTCAAGGCCGATTATTTGTACAACTACAGCTGGAGCGCGGTTCTTTTCCCCTTGGTCATCTCGGCGACGGGGCTCATCATCTGCCTTCTCTCCTCCTTTGTCGCCACGCACCTTCTCCCCGTCCGCAAGGAGAAGGACGTGGAGAATGCCTTGAAAATCCAGCTCATTGTCACGACCCTGGCCGTCATCCCCGTCGTCTTCGGACTGGCCCACTG